ATTTCAAAAACATGCATTGTAAGTTTATTATTATTATTATTATTATTATTATTATTATTTATGTCTATTCTTCTTCTTCTTCTTCTTCTTCTTTGTGGTTCATTTCATTCGGAAGAGTACGATAGCTCTCCACCATTTCCTGTCTTTCACAATCACTTCTACTCCTTTTTCTGCTAGCGATTAACACGATCGTTAGGTATGTTACTCGGTGATTTCTCTGTCCCTCTTACCATCATTATGCCTTGTGACTGTCAAATTCTCCAAGTCCTTTATCCCCATCATATTCCCTAGAAATTTCAAATGTCTCTTTCTGATGTTAAGTATAAATGTTCTTTTTGTTTCCATTTCCACTAAAACATTTTCGTTACTCACATATTCACTCCATGGTATTCTCAGTATCCTTCTGTAGAACCGCATTTCTGTTGCCTCAAATTTCATCTGTTAAGAGAATCTAGAATAATCACTGCCATAGAGGAAGACATATATTACATAAGTTTTATGTACTCTTTACTTAGTTTCCTACGATATTTTTCTCTTTCTTAATACTTTGTTTAACTTTGGAAGATATGTTTCGCTATCCTTATACACATTCGGATTTCGCCGTCACATTTTCAATCACCTGATAAAAATCTTCATAGATATTTAATTTTTTCATTTACTTCATTTTGGCATCCCCAATTTGTAATCCACAAGTTAGAATCTTCTTATTGATGATAACTGTAATTCTGTAACTTTTAAAATTGACTTTTAGTCCTTTCTTCTTACCTTGACAAAGTTAAAAAGCTAATCTTCCCTTCTATTTAACCCATAACAGACGGAAGATGACTTCATGACTTTTCCAAGTGCAGTAGTGCGAAGTGAATAAATCAGAATCAACTAGAATTTGAAAAGGACTTGGCAGTTTCACTTTCCGAGGGACTAACCATTAAATTATTTGCATATGAGTGCTAAGATTTGATTGATTGTATATATAAATATTAAGAACTACAATGTCATTTATTTGAATTATATTCATTTTAATCACAATCAGTAAAATAAAATAACATCACCTAACTGAATGCATAATGTATTCCGAATTTGATGGAACATATATTTCATAATCGATGAAATAATGACAATATTGTAAACTGCTTCACATATACCTAGCTTCAGACCAAGCTTAGAGGTGATTAAATTTGAAGAAAATTATAGAATTAAGTATTTTGAGACGAAGTCATAAATCCTCATTTCGAAATTATATTGACTGTTTTTTCTCATCTTCAGAAAATAAAACAATAATAACATATGTCTCTTAAATTAGTCGATTTAAAGAAGTGGAAAAAAATGTCAATTTCCATGGATATAAAAATTCAATAAGATGTTTTTTTTTTCTCTCGCTTTCACTTTAATGGTGTATTTGCGCGCACACATCGGAATATGTCAATATTTATATGAACAATAGATTTCAATTGCACTTTTTCTAATTACAGGGAATTAGACGAAAACCTCTCACACATTCTGCGATTAAATATCGCTGCATGTCCGCGAATATGCATCCAATTGGATTCATGCAATACCATCCCCATTACTCTCAGTTAAATATAGTCAAGTAGAAATTGATAAATGTTTGCTAATTCCATTTATATTCAAAAGCTTCACAGAAGAAATTTCCTGGTCTAAAAACAATTTGGATCACATAAAATCGCTCACCACATGATCTTCAACTCATTAAAAAGCTCACCTTTAAATATAAACAATAATAGACCTAATGATGATGAAATTAAGGAAGCTATTAAAAAAATAAAGAATAATATATCATCACTCGATACAGAGGCAGAACTTTTGAAAATAGCTTACTTTCTTCTCGAAATCAAGAACAAGTTTATGTGTTGTATGAAGTCATGCATTATGAAAACAGAAAGATAAGCGCAAGACTCTCACCGATACAGAGATATCAAAATTAGAACCAACATGGTAAAAGCGTTAATGAACATCATATTGACTAGGATCTTATTGTATTATGATAGTCAACATTTGAAGACCTAGTTTGGGTTTCCTTCTGGGAAGGAATGCAATGATGGCATATATGTCATCAACAACTCCATGAAAATTGATTAACTCTCTAACAGAAAACTGTGTACCTGTTTTTTGACCTCATAACAACATATGACTACATCAAGAGACTTTCTCTTCATATCCTTTATAAACCGCTGTCCAAACTCCCAATCCACTGAATTCATCGATCTCATAGAGGATATGTATCAATCTACATAATCCTATATATCTGGTGAGGACCACAATATCGAAACATTTCAAACATCATCAAGTGTCAGACGAGAAGGAAATAAGAGACCCACTGTATTTAATCTTTTCCTATACTATGGCCTGCGCATTTACGAATATACATGTGAGATATGCACATCCCAAAGTAATCTACAAATAAAGTAAACGATCCTGCTCTCCTTCCCGAAGCTAATGTAAAGATGTTGAAAAAGGTTATGCTGATGACACAGGTATTCATATTTCGGTTAAGAATGATCTTGAACAGAAAATCAAGTGTTACAAGAAATAGGACTCAATTTAAACTTTTCCAAAACAGAAACTAAGATCTGATATTGGAATGCAGTGCTAAAACCTGCACTAAATCCATCAAAAAAATTAAGGATGACGATATCGCAGTCTTATAACAGATTAAGTACAAGAAAAAAAATTATTGAACCTACAGTAGGGTGCGCCAGAGGAGGTTTAGCCTCAAGACCGCAAATTGCTAAAAAATCAAAACGTCATACTATAAACTCGTGTAACATACTTAAATAGCCTCCACAGATATGAGACTTTCATGTAGGTGGTATGCATGGTGCCAAGCTCGTTCAGAAATATCTA